GCCCAGCCTGCAAGTCTGTCTAGAGATAAATAGAAATTTGAGAATATACTGAAATTAGCCCCACCTAGTCCAGTGAGATCAGATAGACATCAGATGCATAGGTGGGTGACCCCATACTTGCATCCATTTCCAATAATGTCTTTATTCTTTCTATGATTAGAAGTTATAGATAAAATTAATGATGAATGCTATTTGCCATATACCTTTACTATATGCCTCACTTTCCTGTTGGACCAATTTTAGCTAAGCAGCTATATTTGCGATCCTATAGGTTGATTGTCCTTTAACTCACAAACTGCAGTTCTTGTTCTGCTCCAGTGAAGACTCATTGTGGGTGCCTTGGACAGTGTGCCTTCCATCCTTCGCTTAGAGGGTAACCACATTGTGGTTTTGCCATATAAAATACCCCTGACAAAGATCCTTATCAGCCACTTGGAAATCCAGGAGCTATTCTTATTATTTCCAATAAAACTCTCTTAACCCCCTTCTTTGGTTCCCAACTTCACTCTTCGATGTTGTGAGACCACAAATTCAGCATATCTGACATCTAACGGTTTGGGAGTTATTTCGCCCATCATAGTCCTCTATATCCTCATGTGTATTTTTGAAATGGATAGTTTAATGTCCTATATATTAATGTTTTCCATGAGCATGGACAAATAAACTAAAGGAGTCTGGTGGGATGAACACAAGCTATTTTTCTTGAAACAGGTAGAACTGAGTTCTGTTGCAATGGTACCATTTTCTTGGCATGGAAATAATACATGTTATTTAATCTTTGAAGTTAGTTCCATTAGTTTTATTAAGTACACCAATAACTTCGTGGGTTGTCATGAAGATTAAACAAAGAAAACCTGTAAGGACTTAATTCAATGCCATGCACATATAACAAGCTTGACAGGTCTGACAGCTATATATAAAGTTATCTGAGTTGACTCCCAGCTCCGGTCTGTGGTCTGAATATCCTAAAGGACTGGTCTGCTTGATAAAGTTATCAAGACTTTTGGTTTATTTCCCAGATTTCAAAAGATAGGTGTCTTACTAATTATGAAAGCAGCAGCTGGCTATCTTTTAGAGAACTCTAAAGTATATCAGTAGTAATTTAAAATAAACATAATTTAAACATAATTCCACTAAATGAAGGAGCTATGCACATCAGTCTTGACAAGACAGTCTAGGTCAGAATAACTAACAGTGTCTATTTCCACGGGAAGAAAAGGATTTATGAGTTAGGTTATATCTTTCAGCTTACTTCCTAAGGGAAGGCTGGAAGGAACCCATAATCAGTCCTCACTGGAGCAGAACAAGGACTGCAGTGTCTGTAGAAAGGGCTCAGTCCATTGAGAAGTGTGATCCTCAGAATCCAGCCCTACGGGTTTGCTGCAACCTCTTCAAGTGGTCTCTGCTGGTACTTCTGCTACATTGGCTCCTCCTGGCTCAGGTCTTGCTAACATGATGCTTCACAGCTAAAAGCCAACCACATCATTTCTCCCATTTTACCCTGAAGGTATGAAGGAGGCCACCAGGATTACATAAATGCATAAATTTTTCTGCTGCTCTATTGGTGTGATAATATTATTCAGTTTGTCACAAACTTCTCAAATAGTAACATAGTTTTTGGTGATGCATCAGAAACTGAGGTGGTGGTTCTCATAGGATAGAACAGGGGCTTTCTGCATCAGAATTACCTGGGACACTAGTATTGCAACATGTATTTACAGGCCTGCCTTAGCCTAAGTAAATGGAAATCTCTGGAATGTGGATCCAAGGATATGCATTTTAACATGTACACTACAGGCTGAGAATGCATGAGATAATCTGAGAGAAAATCTCCAGACTTTGTGAATTTGTGCCAGAGCTACATGGTTATGAAATGAAAGTGCTGGTATTTTAATCCAGGATTACTTTATTTTAAGCCTGCATTGACTCTGATAGACTACATTTCTAATCACCAATAGTAGTCAAATAACTTTCACTTACCAATTCTATCAGCTCATGAACTGACAATTTTCAATGCCTTAAGGCGCTGTGTGATATCTCTTTCCCCTTCCTTTCAGGAAGAGAGATTTGTCAGAGTGGGATTTAGGCCACACTTTCTCTGGAATCACCAGTTCTGCCTTAGTTTATTCTCCAACCACCGGACTCCCTTCCTTCCCACACTCCAGACTTCCAGTGCCCTTCCTTAGTGAGTGACTTTCCAATACTGGGCTCTAACAGGTCAAAATAAAAACTAAAAATGTAATGCAGAACCCTAATACCACTTTACAGAATATTTTAAAAGGTTATTTGTATTCCCTCCCAACAACTATTTCACATCTATATTGAAAGTATCGACCATGATTCTGATCATAATTCTGCCTCTAATTTAAGGACAGCATATGCAAAAACTATGATTTAATCCTCTTCAGAAATTTAGTAAGAGAAAGAAGTGAAAAGATTTGAAATAAATAAATAGAGACTCATTTTCAAACACTGAACACTCATTCTGAAAATTAAGTTTTGTCATTTTTACCAAAGGCAAACTATGTTATGGTTAATGTCATTAACGTTCTTGTAGTCTACATGGTTTAATGTACGTAAAGTTCATTTGCAACCCAGTTAGGAGAGGGAGGTGTTTGGTTTAAGATTCCTGGAGCTTCTAATTGAGTCTTAGAGCAGGATGTCTTTCCATGTAGGATTTTATCTCAGGTACTAAATGAATAACACAGGTGTGCAAATACCATAACTACAGTCAGAGCAGGCTGTAATATGGAGCAGGCATTTTCTTCTCATAATTGGCTGTAAAGTACCTGGAGCTGGTCTGAAGCCTATGTGACTCACAGGATCATGTCAGATGGCACCTTAGCCTCGTATAGCTTCTGTGCCAACAGCTGCCATGGAAATCTAAGTATTGATCTGTGAAGCTGCAGGTGTCCTAGTGAGATAACACTGTGGCTGAGGACAGTGGGGCTCCAATCCACATTCCATCCCCAGAGCTACTCCTCCCTTAACTGTCTCAGTAGCTTCCTAATAAGACTGTGACCAAACTTCGGTTAGTTCCGCTCCTTCTGCAAGTATATCTGATCCTCCTTTGTACAAGTCTTGCCGGTGTCAGCTGATATCACTGGATGCCACATGAGTTCCTCTACCCTATTCTTACCCATGCATGTGTAATTAATAAATACCGATGGACCTGATTGCTTGTGGTCCTTGCCACGTGCTTGACCTCGTTGACACATGCTCAGCATGGCCCATCCCAGTTTCCTGCTATCTGTTCAAGTCCTGTTTCTGTGACTTCCTTTTGCCTTGTGTCCTGTTTCCTTGTAGAAGACTGGGGCTTGAGGCCAGGGGCCCAATACACAGGTGTCCACTTGTTTTGATCAAAATATTCTTGTGCCAGAATAATGGTGGCAAACCTATGGCATGTGTGCTCCAGGGGGCTGTTTGTATAACTGAAAGCTCTAAAAGTTTCCCATCACTGCTCCAGAATATATATGCGTCTAGAACCCTAAGATGCCAGGCTTTGGGAATCTGTGGAGTAGAACAAAGGGACCTGCAGCAGGACTCCCTACTTGCTTAGAACATCCTCAACCTCCAGGAATTCTGAAGATCTGAGGTTCAAAACCTTACCATAGTAAAAAGCAATTGCCACAAGATCGAAATTATGGTCAAGGTGTTTAACTTAGTTTTTTCATATCTCTATTCTTAAAATTGCAGATTATATTTCCTTTTAAAAAATATTCCTTTGGGAATTATGTTTTGTTTTTGTAGATATTCTAGCTTTTTATTTTTTAAATGAGGAAATGAAGAATTAAATAATTAGAGATGTTCCTCAACTTATAAGGCTATGCCCTGATAAGCTCATTATAAATTAAAACTATCAAAATGTGAAAATGTATTTAATGCAATCTACCCAACCTCACAGCTTAACCTAACCTTCCTTAAACAGGCTCAGAACACTTCCACTAGCCTATAGTTGGGTAAAATCAACTAACGTGAATCCTATTTTATAACAACACATTGAACATAAAGCCTATTTTATAACAAAGTATGTGTCTTGTGTCATTTAATATGTATTTATGTAAATATCTTATGTAAGTTATTGAATACTGAACTGAAAGTTAAAAACACAATGGCCGTATGGGTATGTTTTCACACCACTGTAAAGTTGAAAAATCTTAACTAGGGGACCATCTGTATTCCTAAATAAGGAAGATGGAATTCCACTTCGTCCTAGTTAGTTCCACATGGACTCTTCTTCCTCAACTGTGGATCCTCTTGGCAGGCAGCATCTCCATTTCCCTCTGTCCCTGTTGAGTGTAAATGATTATACAGCCAGCCTCTTATCAGGGAGTGTGCATCCATGGAGATCGGAGGAGATGCTGGTTAAACAGATTTGATAAGATTCTTGCTGAAGGACAGCCAGATGGTCAGATATCAAAGCATGTGTGTGTGTACATGCGTGTGTGTGTGCATGTGTAAGGGGTTCTATCAGGATGAAGGGTGACTACTTGTCTCTAAACTAACAGCAGGATTTTGGGTACAGTTGAGTGACTGACTTCCTTTGGGTGGGAGCAGAGGTCAGACATCTTGGGAAGAGGGTTTAGGTGACCTACTTAAATGCTCGGGGAGTCCATCAAGAGGACATACTCTGTGTGTGTGTGTGTGTGTGTGTGTGTGTGTGTGTTCGTGCCACACAATGCATGAACAGGGATCCCAGGCTACCAACACTGCCACCGACCACAGGCACAGAAGGCTACCTGTGGGCAATGGCTAGTGGGCTCTGAAAACTGGGCGGCAGTGGGGGGAATGTTGAGCAATTACCTGACCCCTGCATTCCAGACTGCAGGTATCTGTAGTGGTAAAACCCCACTCTCTTTAAATAAATAAATAAATAATTAATTGTAAAAGACCCTTTCTGCCCCAGAGCAAATAAAGCTTACACGGGTCAGCAGGCAACGCCGCAAAAGCATCCCTACGCACAGGCCGCCGGAGGCGGAGCGAAGCGGGACGCTGGGGGAGTGGGGTGGCGAAGAGCCCTCTAGTCTCGCGAGAGAATCGCTCGGTGCTGGTTTCTCTTCACCTCCCTCGAGTCTAGGTCTTCGACTTCCGGCTTGCGATTTCCGGACAGCGGCGTCTCCGAGGTAACGGTGATGGCGGCCTTGGAGAGTGAGCGCCTTTTCTCCCTGGAGTTGCTTGTGGACTGGGTGCGTCTGGAGGCCGGGCCGTCGTCCCCAGGCGCCCCGCGCCCCGCCGTGTCCTTCTGCCTGCTGGACTTCCCCCC